AAAATCCCAAGTACGTCATCGCTTTTGTGACTCCTGATAGTCTATACGAGTACAATCGAATGCTTGAATTTGTCAACTCACTGGTGTGCTAACAAAGTTCCATAGACAAAACACTCGGACCTCGACTCAGACCGCTGAAAGACAATATGGCATTTGTTTATATATCGACGACGTGCTTTGCCCATCACAAACTTATCGAGGGCCGAGTTTGTTCTGAATGTCTTAAAGTGCAACTAAGCACACTTAGAAACTTAGGCGTGGTGATCGAGATAGCTCTCGCTCAAACTGTTGCACTGATGGATATAAAGAGTATACGGCAACTTTTAGGCCTAGTTGAATATTTTCGAAAATTTATACGAAATTTTGTCTGCTTGACAGCACCAATGTCCTTCCTACTGAGGAAAGGATAGCTTTGTCCAAAAATATACGTCTAGAATCAATAAGAGAGCTGAAGAAATATCCTATATTCAACATGTTGAACCTACAGGCCAAACAGAGAAACATACAGATGCCAGTGCACTTGGCCCTGCTGATGCAAAAGAGTTCAGACAATTTAGCTTACTTCAGTCGACGAACAACCGAATGTGAATAACGACTGAATTGCACTGAGACAGTGAAGATGAGCATTTAGCAACGCATCTGTATCTTTCATTCAGTTCGAATGGATCTAGAATAGATGCATGTGGATAATGCGGATCATATTGGCACTGTATGGATAATGTTCATAATTGAAATATGGATATTTGACTAGACAACGTTGATTGTCAGATATAACTAATGATCCAACTTCAGAAATTGAAAAGTTATCTAATTTTTTTTTTGGGTCTTGAATAATTAGTGGTCTCCATAATGGAAAGTGAAATGCGATTTCACCATTTACTACCAATGCAATCGAATATTATTTTACAATCTTTATGTATTCTTTGAATTTTCAGCTTCACTGCTTTATCTTCCCTCGATGATATGTATTCAAAAATATATTTATTGCAATCGAGTGAGCTACTATTACTATTGTTCGACAATAAGAGAGCAATTGCTCGTAGCTTCAATAAAGTCGTTGCAAAATCTGAACATGAATATGTGAATAAATACCAACAAACCTCCCCTACCTTTCAGGCCGTGGCTCCTAGCACCATCAAAAATATTCTGCGAATACATTCGAATCAACATCAAGCGTCATTACCAGTGAAACATTAATTGTGCTCTACCCTTGAGTAATGCCTTTTGAAGAATAATTATTGGTACTCTACTAGTGCATATCAGCCGAACACATACGCACTTAAAAAAAGGAATAAAATGCGCACTAGTGCAGCCATCCGAATACACCATTAGAGGAATTGGCTATTTTCCAAGCAACCCATTATTTTGGGTTTCATCTTAATGGCATAAAATTCAAGATATTTATGGATTGCATTTCTGTATGAGCCACAGCTTCAAAAAAATAATTCCACGTGTTGCGAGGTGGTGAATTGAAATGCGAGATTGAATACGATATTGAGTACAGGCCAAGATCAGAAATAGCGCATGTTGATTATCTCAGCCATAATATGCCAGGGCAAAGAGCTCTGGTATGCATACATACAACAACAAAACAGACAAACCAAAAAAATATATTCTCCTGTATAACATTATGTTAAAGTGTGAAGATCAAAACATGTTCTGTATGAGCGAAAATATCGTGTATTTTTATAATCCAAACGATTAACATTATCGTTGTTTCGTGCCGGTAGCCGCACGATTAGACATTCAACGGGTGTATGATGAAGAATCAGCATAACTTAGTGAGAACAAAATGTTATCGCAACTCCGTGAGGAACCAATCTGGCCTCGGATGGATGAAACAGTGGAACAAATACGCAGCGAATTGTCTTTCTTGTGTACTAGGAGTGTCACTTAGAGGTAAGAAAAAATGCATATGTTAACTAACCGCTAAACCATCATATTATAAGATGCATATGCCACATGCCGGACCACTGGCGAGATCAAATGAAAACACGCAAATATTGGTGATAAAAGATTCTTTCCAAAATATTTGAGGTTCTGTCCGATTAAACAGAAAACAGACTGCAGTATAAAAGCCCTTGAGGGAGTGTTACCTATGCTGGACACACCAAAACGAATCATAACAGACGGATAAAACGATTTCCAGTTATGAAAATTCAAGGATTTTTTTTGGCAGAGCGAGAAGTAGAACTCCACTTGGTTGAAACAGGAATTCCCCGTACTAACGGGCGAGTATAACAAGTGAAGCGCAACCCTTTATCGCTATGCGAGCGGTTCTAAATGAGAAGTATGAACCAAAGTACAAATACTTCCCGCCATCGAAGACGGTTTCTATGTGTTAATAAATCAACCGGTTATTCCCTGCACGCCCCAATGTTCGGTGGAATTAGAAGTTGAGGGCCGCTGATCAATGCCTAAGCGGAGTTTATCGACATAAACATACATTTTCGATAAGAACCGGGTTATCGCAGTCCTGTTCAGAGTATGTAACAAAATAGTCTTCAGGAGCAAAACTATTGCAAAAGATGCAGGGCCCGTTGAAGATGATACATTGTTTACCTAACGAGCAATTACGAACCTGGTCACAGTAATGGTAATGAAAGGGTTCAAAAAAACAAAACAATAATCAGTAAAATACGATCTCTCAACTTGAGTTGAGAAAAAAAGGGATGAAAAACAAATTTGACACTTAATCATGGGCACTGAAATTTAGACAGGTAACGAGTCAAAAACAAACCTGTAGAATAATATCCATCAACTGCTTGAGGCATGAATAAATATCAAAGTAAGGTCCCTTCGTTAAGGCAAAAGCATAATAGTACGTTCCCTTAACGTGACGAGGCAAATAAAATAAGTTTCCTCAACTGATGTTCAGGCATAATCAACCTTAAATAAAAAATATGCCCCTTAGCCTATGTTAAGGCAAAAGCAGATAAAACAAACCCAGGTTCAGGCAGAAAAAATTGGACTCTGATTACTGGTTTGAATTATTTCAACCTTGGCTCGAGCAAAAACAACGTCAGATGACCAAATCCTTGAAAATTAAAAAAAGGATACACGAAAATGAATTTTGTAGATTGTAATACAACGATGGATGTAATCTAAGAAGCTATTATTTTTTTTCATTTACTCGCTGTTTTACACATCTTCATCAGGCACTACAAGGAACGAAAATGGTGCGTGGACGCCTCTTATGTCAGCAAGGCCGTGTTAGACCCCTTGCGGCTGACACTGACTCCACCTGGGTGATGTAGTCGTTCGTACTCCGAGGAACTGCTGATATGTGTTCATCTAATTGAATTTGTTTATATTCTCGAGAGCAACGGAATCAGTCGCTACCGAGACTTGAAATGGCACAAATTATCAGCTATTCGAAAAGAATCTTTTAATCAGTGCTATCGTTTCTTCAAATACCAAACGAGAAGCTATTATACATAAGTATATTGAATCAATGCGCAAATCCTTATTTGAAGAAACGAGGAGAAAATCGCAGACAATCTGGAGGAGGTATGAAAATGAATGTTGCTTTTATCATTGTTTGCTTTCAAAACCTTGAAGAAAACTTTCGACTGGCAGTGATAGAAACCATATTTCACTAATTGGTCAGGACTGCTTTTCATGCATATTATATTCAGTAATAATTGAAGTCGAAAAGATTCGCCTTGTCATTTCAGAAGGTTCAAAAGCATGATTATACTCATTATTATTCATTGTTCCTGTAATATTCACCTTGGAAAATGAAAAACATAATAAATACTAGAAACAACTATTGGTATTGGTATAACAACTAGTGTTTTTTTCTGTGACGGGATTACCAAATTCAGTAAAAATGCAGTATAAGTTTTCAAATATTTTGAAGAAACACTGCAAAATGCATGCAGAAATCTGTATTGAAAATATTGAAATTAGTAAAGATATTCATATTTTTCTATTGAAGCTAACCAATTCAATGGGCGTGTACACCTTGGTTGAACTTTCAACTCAAACCATGTTTATAATGATCCTTTCATACATAAATAATGATTGACGACATAATTCAATCAAAAAATTAACTGGAATGTTTTATTTTTGGACATAAATAATAGTACCTTCTGAAAACGGACAAATATTTTGAAGAAACACTGCGGAATGCGTGCAGAAATCTGTATTGAAAATATTGAAATTAGTAAAGATATTCATATTTTTCAATTGTAGCTAACCAATTCAATGGGCGTGTACACCTTGGTAGAACTTTCAACTCAAACCATGTTTATAATGATCCTTTCATACATAAATAATGATTGACGACATAATTCAATCGAAAAATTAACTGGAATGTTTTATTTTTGGACATAGTACCTTCTGAAAACGGACCCTCTTATGACGTAGAAACCTCATCTCGCCATAGTTAAAAGAAAATACCAAATGCCCGACGGAGACTGAGGCAACTATATCAGTTAATATATCATTAATTCTTTCAACTGTGATCTCGCGCTAATTCACTCTGTCAGAAATCATGTATCATTCATCTCTGTCTGGAATAGTCATGTTTCAGTATTAGTATCATTAATTCTTTCAACTGTGATCTCGCGCTAATTCACTCTGTCAGAAATCATGTATCATTCATCTCTGTCTGGAATAGTCTTGTTTCAGTATTAGGGTTTTGACGTCACATTATCGCCTCGTTTTCAGAAGTCCGTAGAATCGAAGATTTCAATAATTTTTTATAAAACGTAGGAAGCTCAGAGCAAGAAACGGTTTGCGGTGGTGAGCTAGTTTCTGTCGAATTATGAAATTTGTTTTCTGTGATATAAGCCCTTTTGGTCATCAAAAACATCACGTTTCATAGCTAGCATCAGCAAAGCTTAAATCTCCCAGAAATTAAGCCGCCTTGAAGCTAATCAAATTAAAAATTGTGTACATCTAACCCCCCTGATATAGAAACTTTCAGACTCGTTCATGATACAGAACTTAAAACATATTCATCAATTTTTTGAATATCGGTTAGAATCACGTACCTCTTTTCACAGTATTTGCATTCGAACGGCTTCTCTCCTGTATGTGTCCGCATGTGAATTTTCAAGTTGGCATTTTTCCTGTAACTTTTGCCACATTCTTTACATATGTATTGTTTGTCATTTATTGAATCTATGGCATCCCCTGATGACACAGTCTTCGGTGGAGTTTGGGGCCTTACCTGCACACCTAATGAAGAAACTAATCAATATCATCATGGATACATTTTATATCTGATATAACCATTTCCTGGAAGTATCAAAGCCACTAACTTTCAAGATTAATCATTGGGTTCAAAAAACTCAAACAAATAAAAAATCTGATGGCTGAATTATACAGAAAGATTCATGATGGATTGTACAGTGTGTCCAGTTTTCGATACTTTTACGTGATACCTCAGTTATCTTTGAAAATGAAACCTAGCGGTTTTCGCGGTCCTATTTAAAATTTTTGTGAAACCCAAGATGGCCTTATCAGATTTTGCATAAATGTTTCCGTTCATGAGATACAGGGCGATTTTGAAAATTTATAATTTTTGAGCCCCCTCTATATCTACGAAGTTTCTTAGCCAAAATGACAAATTGAAATCTCATCCGATAAAGAATTTTACACAGAATCCAGTGGAGAACTCAAATTTTTTTTTCGGGTACGGTTTTGCAAATACGACTTAAACTTATAATTTTTTAAATGGAACACCCTGTATTTCATAAGCTCATTGAATTTCTTAGTTTTCTTCCTTCAAAATAATTCATGATTCATAGATATAAAATTTTCAAAAATGCTCAAAAATCGCAAAAACATTGAATTATAATAGTAGGCTATCGATTTTTCCATGAAAAGGACAAAACAATGTCGACACTGATTAATAACAAAATACAAAAGTTAGGTACCTGAAAGCAACAAGTGAATAGTAATGAAAACTTCATAATGTAGAGTTAGCACCTGATTGAATATTAACTAAAACAATTGAATTTCGAAATCATTCAGTAACTTATTCAATGAATTCTTCAAATTGATGTCCATTTTCCTAAACACAATAGATACACTTTTACAATATATCTTGATACAGTAAGAGGCACAACAATCTTGTAGAACTTACTGCAACAACAAAGGCAGTTTTCCAGAAATTACAAAGACATCCTTGAATAATTTTGAATGCATAAGCCGTATTGAGGAAGTGTGAACAATTCAAAGAATAAGTAACTAAATAATTTCGAAATTCAATTGTTCTAGTGAATATTTAATCAGGTGCTTTTTCTAAATTATGAACTTTTGATCACTATTTATTTGTCACTATCAGGTAACTAAGTTCTGTGTCTTGTTAGTTAATTAGGGTTGGTATTGTTCTTGTCCTGTTCATGGAAAAATCAAAGGAAATATTACGTCAATTGGAACTTTTTTATATGAAAAATAGTATGAATTTTCAAAATCGTCCTGTATCTCAAAAACGAAAGCAGTTATGCAAAATCTGAATAGGCCATCTTGAGTTCCACAAGAAAGTGGCACGGGACCGAAAAACCGCAAGGTTCTATCTCCAAAGATAACTGATATATCACGCAAAAGCAGTGAAGACTGGACACACTGTTCACAGATGAATGGTAGGAACCTGACATCAAAAAATATGACCTTGGTAAAATGTTGGTATTTAACAATTCACAGGGTGAAACTGAGTAATCTATCTAATCTGAGACACAATAATTATTAAAAAGAAATAAGTAACATGATATACAGGGTCTCCCGAAATTAGCCTGCCAAACTTCACCAGCGGCTTCTTCGACCAAAAATAGGAAGAGAAGTTTCAATGAAAATGAGTCGAGAAATGTCTCGTACGGCGGCTACAGCCCCCTGAAAGAGTGCTCCTGAAGATGATATTTCTTGAATAATTCCGAAACGCCACGTGATAAAATGATGCAACCATGACCAATGCGGTGGACAGAAAATCATTTCAGAGTTTAATTCAGGAGTGTAGAATACAGGGTGGGACTACATTGAATTTTACAAACTTTTTCGTATGCATATTTTTTGGTAATTTAATGTCGGATTATGAGAGTCTAGAGTTTCACACAAAAATGTGCTTTTGTTCCGCCTCGATCAGATGTATCATTTTCGAGTGAAATCGATTTGAAAATATTGGTGCACTCACGTCTTATGCATAACGTTGCCAATTTTCAAATCATAGTGGCTATGAAAAATGAAGTACTTTCTTCTCACCAAGCAATCTCATGAAAGCGCCAAAAATAGAAAAATGATGATGAAAAATTACTCAAATTTTTGTGCATTATTTTTTCAATTCCACTAATACCTGAGTACCTTTTTTCTGTAGAGGTGTGGAATTTCATAAACTGCAGCCCTACTTTTATGAAAAATAGGTGCATTGCGAACGGCAGCTCTTCGTCAGTAGGCACTATGAGTTCGAGTTATCAAAATGAGTTAAAATAGCAAAAAATTCAGTTATCTAGCAATCATAAGGTTAAACAAAAAAGATGGGGCGCCACTGCAACTTTTAATTCAAATGAAATGTTACCTGGAAAGTTGAGCAACCAGATAATGAATAATATTAGTTGTTCTCCCAGACTAAAAGACCTAAATTTACCTTAGAGATGTTGTGAGTTGGAGTGTCATGTCAATAAACAAATAAAACAGTCATATACAATACCCAAAACATTTAATTATGATGATAGGACCATATATCACAGGTATTGACAAATATGCATAAATCAAAAAAATATTAGATACCTATTCCTGTTAAGAAAATACACTGTTGCCTGCTATTATGTGGATGAAAATATATATAAATCAACTTTATATTGTACTTGAAAACTCAAGAGCTCCTGTAAGGACGATTTATATTCATAGCAGATTTAAAAAAAATATTAAATGTGGAGGAATTCTACCAGCGCATAGTATACTATGTGGAGGGGAAGTATATACCTTTCATGTGTGATTTTATCAATTTATGACCTGGCTATGATTTAAAAATGGTCCATTATACACACTAGCAATGGGCAATATGAGTGAATAAAAATATGAGTGAATAAAAATGAAAAATAAAAATATATTTTCATGTCAAAAACCTGTATGGTGTGTCCTACACCAGTTATCCAGAGTAGCATTCAGTGCTACCAAATGAAGCTGCTGAGGGGAAGGTTGGCGGAGAGCGGGGTGCTGACTTCACATCCCTGGGTGTCAGATGACATTGACAGAGTTGTCGTATTTCCACCTTGAAAATCCATCATCAGGAACAAGCAGGGGACGATATCCAGATTCCAGACTACTATATAGCCACCAAAGGCCTTGTAGAATTAACAGATCCTGGTCGAGCAATGACTCCTGGGAAGAATAGTGCTCCTGGTAGGATAACTCCCGTTGTAGAACTTCCGGTAGAAAAACTCCCGGTAGAAAACTCCCGGTGAAAAAAACCCTTAAATATTTCATGAAAATGAGGTTCTGAATTTCTGGACTGCAGAGAGAAAAATCGTGGAAATAAAGCGAGACTCACCTTCTATGAAGGGTTGGGGATTGAAATGGCCGTAATGACGATGCAGGTAGGCACGTGGCTGCCTGGGTGATGAACCATGAAGATCCTGCCTCTTAAACCGAAACCAGAAAAAATCTGTAGAGTCCAGCAGTCCTTGTAGATCAGCAACAAATCCAGGATATCCTGATGTGATCCAGAACGCCAGGCGGTACAGGACTTCAGAAGCCGGTTCACACCACAAAAATGGCACTTGACCACCACGAAGAATTTTCTGAAGTGAGCTCTTGTCTCACGACCAGAAAGGAAATCCCTTCTCCAAATTTCCAGAAACTTCGAGAACAACCTAACAGTTTCCGCTTTTCAAATTGGCGGAAAATTTGAATATCCAAAATAAAAGACGTTATCGCTACTCCCTCCAGAGACTTGATTCTTCCCAGATGACTATCTGAACCAATCAGAATTGATGACTAAAATGACGTCACACCTTTCTTCACGATTACTCGGCTTGTTGGTTCGACGATGATGATCTAAGGATATATCAATCCGAATCGGCGTTTGGCGCATGACAAATTTGACACTGTTGACATGGTGTCATGACCGACAGCTAATTGACGTAATGCGAAATAACAGATGATCAACAAAATCAAAACATCAACCTGAATTTATCAAATGCATCAATCAAGAAAATAATGCCAAACGAAGTTAATTGATTCAAATTGATCAATTCCTAGTGAAACCATACGCCTCAGCATTCCTGGAAAATCCAATACCTATCGTCCTACTGTGATGAAGTTTCAAGTGGAAATAGCAGTGTGAAAAGTGAGTATGACAATGTCTCTGAAATGGAATTTCATATCACTTTATATTATTTATCTCTTTCAGATAAGTTCCTGTAAAAACCATCTGAATCATCCTTCTACTTGGATCACAACAAAGCAGATATAGCAAGAGATATCAATGTATTTATAGAAATTGTATTTTTATTATATGTACAGTGTGAAATCTCAGGTGTGTATCCACATATCAGGTTTGAGAATAATTAAATAATATAACACAGATTGAGTTCAAATTATGTTATTGAAAAATGTAAACCATGTTATTGTGACACAATATCCTGTCAGATGTGCTCGGCATTACAGAATATTATAGAATCAGACAAAATATACAGTAATGAAAATTTACATGCTACATCACCTCTCTCCCAAGAAAAAATTTGAATCTGGAGTGATTTAAATTTTCAAAAAATTACAATATCAACAATGGATACAGAGGGATAAGTACTTCAGATCACCGAGACGAATATCAGTATCCAAATATTGAAATTGCATTTAGAATTATTCAGTGAGATGTCAACTCCTAAAAGAACGAAGGCAACTCACTGAAGAATCCCAAGGTGGAAACAAAAAAGAAAGTTTGAAATTTTTAAATTTTGATTTAACCAGCTGTCCACTACTCAACTGGGGTGACATACGGCCACCAACCTTAAACAGGCCAAACCTGAAACAAAAAGATTAAACAAAAAACGTTCGGGAGTATTCCCATTCACGTAGAGTTAGGTCGTCCCTAGAGACTACTCAAGTGCAGAAGCAAAAGAGCGGTACTTTCGAGAAATATGCCCATTGAACCCGCCTAAACAAAAATTCAACAAGACATACATCTCGTCAGCCCAACCTGTCATGAGACAACTATGACGACCCACATCACATTGTTG